CCGAGATGTGTGCGTGGGGTTTTATAGGGTTAATTACAAGCTTGGGGCTATTAGCCAATAAGGCTCGAACAGCAAAACCAAGGAATCAGTACACTGGAACTTATCTATTAGGAATAGATCACGTTACTGACACTTGCTGAGCTTGGATTTTCGAGTTAGCTTGTTAGCCCAGTAGACTGACACTAAACTTCAGGTTTACTAGTTAGCCCGGCAGTACTTAGATCAGTAAACCGTCACTTACTACACTTAGATTTATGAGTTACCTTGTTAGCCCAGCCCGGCTTCTCCTTCACATTACAACCATTTGGGGGGATTTTATTTAGCTTTTTGTTTTGTCGCATGTGTGGGTATGGTAGAGATCATTTTCTGTGAGATTTCTTCGCTGTGGATTTCAAGTTTTCCTTCGTAGCCTCAAACCTTTTATAACAGTAACAACACCATTTTTAAAGTTTATGCTGTTTGGTCTATAGTTTGTTAATCAGACATTAATTGTATTGTTAAAGTTCTCTGCAACTCTTTCTAACATGTCAGATTTTCCTTTCACTTCTAGTATGTGGGTTCTGCCCAGCAGAGGTCCCACCGAGACGGAGTGAATGACTCGAGCCTCTGTGGAAAGTCGAGAGAGGGAGAGGAAGTCGGGGACCAACTCCTCGAGCCTCTCAAACACTCTCATGTTTATTGTGTGCAATCAAAGAAAAGATCACAAACAATTGTGTCATGGAATGCAGGAGCTTAAGGAAAAACAGGATCGGGTCGAGATCATAAAATCCACAATGAGTACGAAGGCTTAATTTATCTTCAGGGCAGTCGTGGGGGGAGGGCGACAAGATACATTCTTCAGATATAAGAAGTTGACTACAAAACAGACCACCAGACCAGCCAGTTCCTTGTCTTGGGGCTCACAGACGCTCTAAACAGCAGAAAGCACGCCCAGCGTTTATAGCCTTTATAGCAAGGGACACACAATGGCTTTGCCATTGGAAGCAGCCCTAGGCTAAAACCGCAACTACGCAAGCAGGGCGTTGTCTCTGCTTTTTACGGCAAGGAGACAGACGTGCAGATGCGCAGGTGCCTGCTAGCGAAGCAGGTGCTAAGCACGTTTGTTCCTCCTAAAGGTCCCAAGCAGCGGGGGTCTGTCACAATGTATCAACCCGGGCGTAGGCTCCCACACTAGTAGGTTTTGCTTTATGTTTTGATGCTGTTTCCCGCAAGTTTCCACCTTACAGTCTGGACTTGTTATCTAAGATACTCTGCCTCCTGAGTGCCTTTTGCCTTGAATTTGATTCTTTGATAAGAAGATTGATACAGTGCTTTTTTTAGTCAATAAATTCATCTGGCATTTCTTTGCCCGTCTTCTCATTCCAAGGTTTAAAATATTCCTTTTAGTTGTCTTTATCAACATAATAAATGGACTTTGCCACTTAATAAGTTAGATCAAATCTTGTTACTAATTGCTGCACTGAAATGTAGCATTTATCACACTTTCTGTTGTTATTTGTTTGCAGCTTCCCTTGTTTACTTTCCATAGTGATTTGGAAAGGGGCATCCCCCCCTCCGCTTTTTTTTTCTTAAGCATCATCGGGAGTTGGTTTATGTTTTTAGGAGCACGCTTAGGGGTGCACTGAGGGGTACACTGAAGGATACACTTAGAAGCTTCTGGTTAAACAGGATGAACTTAACATGTGCCCTTACGTCTCTGCTCCCCGTCCTGCCCTTCATTACAGGCACTGTGAAGGAATTTAAGGATGGGGGGATGGCCCCATGAAGGGAGTGAGAGCGAGTCATCACTGCAGGGTAACCACAGCACCCGTGGGAGCAGAGGCAGGAGAGCCCAGCAGAGGTGCGGTGATGATGGGGAGAGCCCACAGTGTGCCCGCTGAGAGGGGAGTTCCTAAATACGAGGGCGGGAATGAAGCACACACTGCCGGGCCGCCTGGAAGCACTCAGGCCATTCCTGCTCCCCACCAAGAGCATGCAAAGCCCCGAAGTCAGCTGTGCGGCCCTGCCCAGGGAGCATCACGGTGAGGACGGGGCGGAGGCCTTCCATTAACAGAAATTAGCTCTCGGGGGGAGCACCAGAGCAACCAGACATCAGCATCCCAGGGAAAAATCCTCCACGTTTTGGTCTTTGGGGACCCTTTGTATGGTGGCAAATCACCTTTCCTCTTGTGCTGCTCGGAGACGGGGGGGGCATCACCCCTCAGTTACAGGCTTCTACTGCGCTTTTCTGGTGCTTTTGACAAAATGTGAACTGATCCCCCAGAATCACTGGATACCTAGAAAAGTCTACATCGTGAAAAATAAAACAAACGCCTCTAGAGAAAACATCCTTCTGGAGCAAAAGGAAAATGTCCTTAAAAAGTTGTAACACCTGGGCAATCTGGTATCAACAGGTGAGCGGACACCTGCCGGGCGTCATGCACAGGAGCAAGACCCAGCAGTGTGGACGAGCGGGCTACCGATGGAGGCTTACAAATCACATCTAATAAAGGTTTTGTATCCAGATGTGTAAAGACCTCTCAAATTTCAATAACAAATATTTTAAAACATTTTTATTCACCAAAGAATACCTGCAAATGGCAAATAAGCACACACAAGGAGTCTTACCATCTTTAGTCATTAGGGAAACACCAATCAAACCACAATGAGATCCCAGCACCCATCTCTTAGAATAACTAAAATTAAAAAGAACAGCCCACCCAAGACTCAGCAAGAATACAGGGTCACTGAAACTCCCACACACCGCTAGTGGGAATGTGGAATTGTTAGAGCAGGCAGATAACTAAATGTGAGCAGGGAAAGGGGGACACAGACCAAATGCAGGAATCGGGCAGAAAGGAGGGGCACAGGCCAAATGCAGGAAACCACACATCATGTAAGCACCAGGGGTCTCTGGACAGAGAAAGAAAAGCAGGAACCTTTGGGCTGATAAGGGGTCACAACTTTTGGGGTGATGAGTGGCCTGGGGACCAACAAAGAAAGGTGAGAAAAGGCAGGAATCTCCAATGTCCGAA